TTGTTTCAACTTATGATTAAATAAAAAGAGAGAGTATAAACAATTTTTTCTAATAATGCACGGCCATTTTAGGTAAAATTAGTAACTTTTTGAAGTAAATATATAACTGAGCTAAAAATATATTAATTTAGATGCTGGAAGTGTAATTGCTGAGTTGGGAAGTTTTTGTCCCAAATAAAAATGTTAACTTTCACGAAGCAAGCTTAAAAAGTAGGCATCAGTTTAGACCAGCATATTTCAGAGTAGAAAAGGAGATAACTAGTGAAGGTCTCATTGCAGTAACAACTTCCACCAGTATAAGGGCCGGTCTCAGCATTCGAGATCAAACCCTTCTTATTGCATGCGTAGTTAACTAATTAGGAGGAGATGTTAAACAGCTAAAGTTAAGCAGAGAATCTGTCAGAAGGCAACTTTACAGATTTTTAGAAGAGGAAGGAGGCCAGATACGTAATGAATATATTGATTTAATGGCTAACAAGATGTTAGTTTTACATTTTGATGGTAAAATTTTAAAGCATATTTAAGGAGGATACTAGACAGGCAGTTACTGCAGATAGACTATCAGTATCTGTTAGTAGCCCAGAGTTTGAAACCATGATGATCTTTTACTTGGTGTTGTGCCAACTGATAGTGGTAAGGGAATCTATATGGTTATAAGTATTATGAATCTCCTAGAATATTTTGAAATTTGTGACTATATTGTAGGATTCTGTTCTGACATCACAGTAGGTAACACTGGATGGAAATCTGGTGCAATAACTATTATGGCAAGATTTCTTGGTAAACCATTTATTTGGTTATTGTGTAGATACCATATTACCAAGATAAATATTATTTGGGCTTTCAAGGCAATTTCAAAGAAAATGTCTAAAGCCCCTGCAAATAAGTTGCTAAAAGATTTTTAGAAGAAATGGATAACAGAATTTTTTCCTAAAGTTTCAGCCAATGGTGCTGTAGAAAAGTTCAAACGATTTCCTGAGCAAGACCTTATCGTTGGCAGTGGTCTCTGTAAACTCTACTTGAAGTCTAAAAAGTTTGTAACTAAAGCACTAGAACATGAAATCTTCCCCAGGTATGTAAAAATAATATAAAATGAATTAGTTTTTCCATAAATATACTTTTTTTTTTTAAGTTATTAAATAAAATTAGGAATATTTTATGAATGATTACAGGCATCTTGTCGAATATTTGGCGTATTACATGAATGTTAAATCTGAGAAATTAAATAATTTTCACATCTATCAGCCTGGCGCCTGTCACAATCCAAGGTTTATGGCCTATGCAATATACTTTCTAATGCTCGATATGACATCCACAGTCATTGAATATCTGACTCCTGAAAAGAAACATATGGTCTCAAGGGTAGCAATTATTGTTGCTATTTATTATGGACCTGCCTTTCTTAAATCAAGCAAAGCAGAGCATGCTGTTCTAAATGATTTTAATGCATTCAAAATTGCTGAAACAATAAAAACAGAATGGGATTATGAAGTTGGAAACTCACTATCGTTAGGTGATCCTCATATGAAAGCAGATGCTAAACGTTTAATCATTGAGAAACTTTTAAAATTTCCAATTCCTGGGTTATCAGAGATTTCTGTTATAGCTCCTTCTGCTGTTATTGTTACCAGTGATAGTCGATTAGAGGATTTAATTACGAAGGAGAGTTGGCTTTTTTTTATACTTACAGGTCACACCGAATCTGTTCAAGAATGGCATACTTCAAGTGATTTCTTAGCGCTAGATTCATACAAACATTTTGCTCAGTTAGTTTGCAATCTTAGTGTGACCAACGATTGCGCAGAAAGAAATATTAGTTTAATTGAAAACTTTGTTCACAGTTTCCACAATAAGTATCAGAGACAGAACATTCTTTTGGTAGTCAGGGAGCACAGAAAGCTTATAACAAAAGATATGTCGCTTAAGGAACTGGTAAAGCTAAAACCTAGAGTTGAAAAATTATTGTAAAATAATAGCTAACTGTATGAAACTATAAACAGTGTTTTTTTTCTTATAAGATCAAACAAAAGTTTAGTTATAAACATATTTTAGCCCATAAAAAATGACAAAGTTCATTTAATGGGTCCCTAAATATTAATTGGAAAAAAGTTTTTAAAAAGTATGTCTTGTTAGGACAACCCCTGCAACTTCATTTCAAGTGACCCTGTTTTACATTATGAAAAGATTAATTTATATAAGGAGAAGAGATTCACAGAAGTAAAGAATCAGGAGTTAGAAAACAGCAAGCATAATAGCAGCCTTAAGCAAAAACTATTTTTGGAATAAATTCTATATATGGTTTTTATAAGTGGTCAGTTGTGAAAGATAATCTAAGAGAACAAAAAGTCAGAGTGTTGGCATTTATTAACTTATTTATTAATACATATAATATTAACATTAAGATAATTATTAGCAGCAAAAAGTTTTACTTGGGTTAAAATTCATAATTGCAAGTCCTGTTTGTTACAACCAATAAAAGATAACTTCTATTGTCACTAGC